TAGGGTTTATAGGTCTATTTAAATTGTTTTTCTGGTCTTGATTTAATTTTAGTATGTGGTACCTATCCAGAAAATTGTCCCTTTCTTTTAGATTTTCAAATTTTGTGGAGCACAGGATTTTGAAGTATGACCTGATGATTATCTGGATTCCCTCAGTGTCAGTTGTTATGTCTCCCTTTTCCTTTCTGATTTTGTTAATTTGGATGCTTTCTCTCTACCTTTTGGTTAGTTTGGATAAGAGTTTGTCTATCTTGTTGATTTTCTCAAAGAACCAACTCTTTGTTTCATTGGTTTTTTTTTTTTTTTGTATTGTTCTCTTTGTCTCTATTTTATTGATTTCAGCCCTCAGTTTGATTATTTTCTTGTCTACTCCTCCTGGGTGAGTTTGTTTCTTTTTGTTCTAGAGCTTTCAGGTGTGCTGTTAAATCACTAGTGTGAAATTTCTCCAAATTCTTTATGTAGGCACTTGGTGCTATGAACTTTCCTCTTAGCACTGCTTTCATGGTGTCCCATAAGTTTGGGTATGTTTTGCATTCATTTTCATTGAATTCTATGAAGTCTTTAATTTCTTTCTTTCTTGACCCAGTGGTGATTCATTTGAATGTTGTTCAGTTTCCATGAGTTTGTAGGCTTTTTGTAATTTGTGTGGTTGTTGAATTTTAGAATTCTAACTTTAAGCCATGGTGATCTAATAAGATTCAGAGGTTATTTCATTTTTTAAAAATCTGTTCAGATTTGCTTTGTGAATGATATGTGGTCAATTTTAGAAAAGGTTCCATGAGGTGCTGAGAAGGTATATTCTTTTATGGTTGGGTGAAATGCTCTATAGGTATCTGTTAAGTCCACTTGAGTCATAACCTTGGCCAGTTTCTTATTTCTGTTAGGTTTCTGTCTGGCCGACCTGTCCATTGATGAGAGTAGGATGTTGAAGTCTCCCGCTATTAGTGTGTGGACTTAGATGTGTGATTCAAGCTTTAGTAATGTTTCTTTTACAAATGTGAACGCCCTTATATTTGGGGCATAAATGTTCAGAATTGAGACTCATCTTGATGGATTTTTCCTGTGATAAATGTAAAGTGGACTTCTCCATCTCTTTTGATTGATTTTAATTTGAAGTCTTTTTTGTTAGAAATTAGGATAGCTACACCAGCTTGTTTCATAGCTTCATTTGATTGGAAAATCTTTTCTCAATCCTTTACTCTGAGATAATGCTTATCTTTGAAGTGAAGGTGTGTTTCTTGTATGCAGCAGAAAGATGGATCCTGATTTCATATCCATTCTCTTAGCCTGTGCCTTTTTATTGGGGAATTGAGGTCCTTGATATGAAGGGATATTAATGACCAGTGATTATTAATTCCTGTTATTTTTTGGGTTTGTTGTTGGTGGTGGTGGTATAGTGTGTGTGTGTGTGTGTGTGTGTGTGTGTGTGTGTGTGTTGCAAATCCTTATTTGGGATTTGCTGGTGTGAGATTATGCCTGTGTTTTTGTGGATGCAACTAACTTTTTGGGTTGGAGTTTTCTTTCTAGTACTTTCTGTAGGGCTGGATTTGTGGATAGGTATTGTTTAAATCTGGTTTTGTCATGGAATATGTTCTCTACATCTATGGTGATTGAAGTTTTGCTGCATATAGTAGTCTGTGCTGGCATTCGTGGTCTCCTAGTGTCTTCAAAATGTCTGTCTAGGACCTTCTGACTTCAGAGTCTCCATTGAGAATTGTGTGTAATTTTGATATGTCTGCTTTTATATGTTACTTGGCCTTTTTCCATTTGCAGTTCTTAACATTCTTTCTTTATTCTATATGTTTGATGTCTTTAATTATTATGTGGCAAAGGGACTTTGTTTTTTGGTCCAGTCTATTTGGTGTTCTGTAAGCTTCATGTATCATCACAGGCATGACTTTCTTTAAGTTGGGAAAGTTTTCTTCTATGATTTTGTTGAATATATTTTCTGTGCCTTTGAGCTGGAAGTCTTCTCTTTCTATCCCTATTATTCTTAGGTTTGGTCTTTTCATGATATCCCAGATTTGCTGGTTGTTTTGTGTTAAGAATTTATTGGAGTTAACATTTTCTTTGACAAATGAATCTATTTTCGCTATCATATCTTCATTGCCTGAAATTCTCTCTTCCATCTCTTGTATTCTGTTGGTTATGCTTACACCTGTACTTCCTGTTTGTTTACCCAGATTTTCCATTTTCAGCATTCCCTTGGTTTGTGTTTTCTTTGCCTTTATTTCAATTGTCAAGTTTTGAACTGTTTCCTTCACCAGTTTGATTGTTTTTTCTTGGCTTTCTTTAAGGGATTTACTGATTTCTTCCAACTTTTGTTTGTCTTTTCCTTGATTTCTTTTTTTTTTTTTTTTTTTTTTTGGTTTTTCGAGACAGTGTTTCTTTGTGTAGCTTTGCGCCTTTCCTGGGACTCACTTGGTAGTCCAGGCTGGCCTCGAACTCACAGAGATCCGCCTGCCTCTGCCTCCCGAGTGCTGGGATTAAAGGCATGCGCCACCACCGCCCGGCTACCTTGATTTCTTTAAGGGAATTTTTCATTTCCTTTTTAAGGACCTCTGTAATCTTCATAAAGCTATTTTTAAGGTCATTTTCTTTTTCATCTGTATTGGGATGGTCTAGTCTTGCTGTTGTAGAATCACTAGGTTCTGGTGGTGCCTTATTGCTCTTTAAATTGTTGAATGTATTCTTACACTGCTGTTTACCCATCCTGGTTTGGGATAACTATAGGTACTGGTGTTGACTCTTGTGATGTCTTTGTTGGGTGGGTCTTTTGTTCCTTTATTGTCTGTTTTCTTTATGGTCTTTTGCCCTGAATGTCCAAGGGTTCTGGTGATTGGCTGGTTGTTGGGTCGAGTGGAGTTGTCTCATTTGAGATTTGTGGGGGTTTGGGTGCATAAGTCCAGTGTATCAACTAATTCTCCTGGCTGGTTTGGGCTTTTCTTGTGCCTATGAGCTCTGTTCTTCCAACTGGTGTGGGTTGTGCCTGTGCTTGTTCTTCCAGCTGGTGTGGGTGGGGTTTGTGCCTATAGTATTTGCTGATGTTGCTGGAGAGGACTGTTCACAGGGAGGCCGCTCTTCTACACCTTGGGTGTAGGTGGTGCTTGTGCCTCTAGGGGCTGCTGACTTTGCTGAGGATGGTTGGCCGGGGGAGGATGATGGCCTTGGTGGGCGTGGGTAGTGAAGTGGGTCTTGCAGGTTACAGGGTCCAATGGGTGGCAGCAGTGGTGGCGCTGCCTGCCTGCAGGACTCTTACCTGCTGGCTGGTTGCTGGGGCTGAGATGGGAGGGGCAGGTCACAGGATGTGTTCCAGGACCTAAGGCTTTAAGACCTAAGAGACTGAGAAAGTTCAACTAGGAGACCAGTCACTCACTTCCTCCTCCAAATGGTACAGGTGGTGCTTGTGCTTCTGGGGACTGCTGATTTTGCTGGGGATGGTTGGCCAGGGGGGGCCATGGTGGGTTTGTTGGGCAGAATAGGTCTTGTAGGTTACAGGGTCCCATGGGTGGTGGGGGCGGTGGTAGCTGCCCCCACTTTCTGCTTCTTAATTGTAGATGTAGTGTGAGCAGCTACGTCACAGTCCTGCAGCTGTACCTTCTTCACCACAATGGACCGCATCCCTTAAAGTGAACCACAGCACACCCTTCAGTTGCCTTTGCCGGGCATTGCATCATAACGACACCAAGTGACAAATACAAACACATTACCGGCTCCCTAGTGAGGTTGGACTTTACACACTCATTTCCTGCTGGGACACTGATGAGAGGCCATGCCATGAGGATCACCATGGCTGAGGGCCTGGACTCTTGAAGTGTTCTCAACCTCCAGAAACCCAAAGATGCCCCCAGCAAGCATAGTGTTGAGCACTGAGAGGGACTGCCTGCGTGAGACCAGGCTAGCGACACCAGGGACTAGCCTAGGGAGGAAGCAAGAGGCCACACCAGCACCTTAGTTTTCATCGGGCTCAGTGCGGAGTGCTCAAGACCCTTTTGAGATTTGTGTGTGTGTGTGTGTGTGTGTGTGTGTGTGTGTGTGTGTCTTGGCCCATTCATGCAGATGCCTGTGGGGACAAGCAGAGGGCAGGCATGGGTTTCCTCTGAAGCTGGAGTTAAAGGCAGTTGTGAGCTGCTTTACATGATGGAAACAGAACTTCTGGCCTCCACAAGAACTGCTGGTACCCCTAACCACTGAGCCATCTCTCCAGCTCCTCCCCCACCTCACCCATGGTTTGTTGTTGTTGTTATTTTGTTTTTAGGATATAACCAAATGTTTGAATCTTCCCTAAAATCCTATGTAGATAAAGAATACAATCCATCAGGTCGCCAGCCGTCTTCAACATTTGTTTCTTTTTTTGTGGGTGAAACTCATCAAGGCAAAACAAAACATAGCCCTCTAGGGGGCCCGACTGCACATCTACTCATAGCTTGGTGGATTCTCTCAACAACTGCAGCCTATTCATGGTCATTTGCTATGTGCCCTCTGCCACAGCAAAGAGTCCTCTCTTACGTAAGAGCGACTCCATTCATGACACACGAGGTTAGACCTCAGTTGCTTAGTTGTCTGTCTATCTGCAGTAATCTTTCATCAGCTATCTTTTTGTTTTCATGGAGACCTAGAGGGTCCACACAGTAACCCTGACCAGGGCTATCATAATTTATGCCCATGGGCTGTAATTAGTAAACTCCTTTCCTCAGAGAATTTAGATTCTCAGTTTGAGAACTGACATACAACATCTCATTGTGGTGTTTTTGGGGCGGGGGTGGTGGAGAATTCTATTTACCCAAATTCACTTCTTAAGGTGGCCATGGAAGATGGCCTGAGGTTGAATGAAATGCAGCCAGTTTCTGTCCTTGAAACTTTCATTGAGATGTTCTGTCAGTGGTTTTTAAACCATGATGTGGTGTTCTGAAGATGCCCCCAAATCCCCAGTACAGCTATTCTTGGGTCAACTTTCCTTAACCCTCTCTCCCCTTTGTATTTATAACAGCCCCACTTCGTTTGTGGATACCACACAAAATTTTATTTGAACAATCATTTTTTATGGCTAAACAAAGCTTAGAAACCATTCTCTGTAATCAGAAATTCCAATTCTTTTCCCATGATATTGCTGAATGCTGAAATAACTTATATAACAAGATGTGTGTGTGTGTGTGTGTGTGTGTGTGTGTGTACGTGCACGCAACTTAAATTATAATTATGTCTTAAGGATTAAATTAAAAAATATTTTTAGCTTCAGTAATCCTATCTAACAACTAAATAATTGCTGAGGTATTTGCTGGGTAGAACCATGCTTTGAGACCTCAACTGGTCAGGGAAATCACAGAAAATTCTGGTTTTTGACATTAAGATAAATGCTCCTAGGAACTTTGCAACTGATGGGGGGCAGGGGGAGGAATGTTGTAACTATAATTCCTAAAGGAGTTCTTTTCAAAGGAGAGTCTTGGCTCTGCTGGTGATGCTGGTGCAGGACCAAGTAACTTCACAGACATTCTCTTGGTGAAGAATCCAACAGAGGCAAATATGTTCACTGTAGATCTGGGACAGGAGTGGATCTGAGCATAGAACAAGGGAGCTTTTTTCCTGTTAAGATGTCCTTCCCAGGGTGGACTTCCAGCACCGCACACTTTCTCTTCATTTTCTTGATCATTGCTCATCTGGTGGTATTTAATGAGCAACTGCATGGATCATCTATTGCACAATCTACCCCCCCCCAAAAAAAAAAAAACCTCAAAGTTTGGATTGCCTCCTGCTCTAAGAATTAGAATCTACCATAAGGCTCTGTTCTGGCTTGTTCAACATCTCTGCTCACTACAGAACTTGAATCCAGGGTACAGGGCCTCAGTCTCTCGATTATCTCCTCACCTTCCAAAACTCCAGGGTCTCTCAGTCTGGCAATGATTGACATGCGTTTGATATTGCCTTGTTGTGGCAGCATCTCTATCCATTAACTCTTTCCCCTATTCCTAGTTGTGACAGCCATCAGTGTCTCCAGATGTTTCCAGATGTTCTGAGCAGGGGGAAGAGAGAGCAAGATTGCCAGTACCATGCTGTAATCCACCAGGAACCAAAGGCACTACCAGCAAGTCCATTCTGACAACTGTACATGGCTTTCAAGGAAAACTTAGACCCATAGGATTCAATCCGGTCCATGTTTCCCGTCCTTGATGCATGCCTGAACCACCTGAGCTATCTGTAGAGGACTAACTGGGCATTAATATTTTCTAAAATCCTCACAAGAAATCAAATTCCTAGACAGTATCAACAAACTCTGAATGAAGGATGTTTGGTAGCCATCAAATGGGGGAAAAAAACCCTAAACACAATAATATCCCCCCAAATGCATTTAAACTAAAAAAATATGTAGGTAATTTCAGAGTTAGAAAGTGAGTCCATATGTCCACAGGCTGCACAGCACAGAGCGTTGGAGACATTTCTTATTCATGTCCTGTTCTGTTGTCCTTGCAAAATGCCTGGGGAAGCTGTTGTCTCTAGGAATGCTGGTCTTTTACCAGTTGTGATGAAGGTGTGTCCCCCGATGTGGAGCATTTCTCATTCCAGTTGAAAGCAGCATTAGTTAGAAAACTGTCTCCAGGAGGCTGGGGAGGACTGGCTGGGGAGGAAATCAAGAGTGGCTGAGGAAGAAAGACCTCTGAGAGTGTTTCTCTCAGAGAAATGAAATGAAAATGATCAGATGGAAGCCACTGATGCCCCCTTTCACATAAGCCTGACTGGGATGTCTAACACCCTCAGTCAGCTAGCGAGCTTCTGGGAGGCATAAGGCACCCTGCAAAACAGAGGGCAACTTGCTGAGTTCACATGAGAATTTCATTTGGAAAATGGCTGCTGTGGTTATTTACCTCAGGCGATCGACGTTGGGATCAACTGTGATGACACCTATGAGTGTCTTGTGATCGATAAGGCTTGTCGTTCATGCTTGTATCCCAGGGACTTTTTCTACCTTCAACTTCAGTCTGCTTGGCCAGCTCCCACTAGCTTTTAGTTTGGGCTTCTGGGGACACAGATGACTGCAGCCACGGCCTACTCCAGAGGTCTGTCCTCGACTGAGCCATTAGGAAAACACATTTGTGCCAAAAAGATCGAGTGACGGATTTTTCACCACCAAGGTTACAATCATATTTTAGGTTATTACATACTTAAAGACTTGGAAATTAATTGAGACCATCTAAGATGCAGAAGAGCAAGAGATTAATCTGACAAATGGTTTCCATTTAAAAAAAAATCATTCAGTTTCCCAAATTTATCATGTGTCTTGAGGTTTCTAAATGCCACAGCACTCTTTCCAGCTGCTTTCTGGTGTTTTCTATAGCCCTAGGTTGGGAGGATACCAGCTCCTATGCAGAGACTGCGCTCAGCTTGGTGGAGTGTTAACTCTTTGCTCCCCATTTCTGTAGGTGTTAAGCACAGCCACTGTTAGGCCTTTGCGTTTCAGAACATTGCATTTGTAGATTGTGAGGACAGAGCCTTCGGTGACACTGTTTCATACAGGGTAATAAAGAACTCTGAGGCCGTCCAGCCAAGTCCATGGTCAAGTTTCCAAATTTTTAGCAATCACCTGGGAGGAAGGACTTCCATCAAAGATGCAATAAAGTAGGAGACAGTGCTATTCTTGGGAGGGTGGGGCTTTTCATGACTGCCTTTGCGATGGTTTGTCCCCAATAGCTAGAGAAAACTGGGTAGATCTCCCCCTACCCCGTCCCCAGTTCTCACCAAAGTATACCACACAGATGCCATCTTTTCTGAAGAGAGAACCAAATGAATAGTAAATCTAGACCTGGTCACACCACTACATGATGACGCTGAGTTCATGTTTCTCTAGCTTGTTCTCATATGGCTCTGCCTTCGCTTCTGAGCTGGGGTCTGAGTGATGCATTTGGATTAAAAGAATGTAGAAGAGGCCTCCAAGGACGGCACCAACCATAGGACCCACAACAGGAATCCACCAGAAGTTATTTCCAACTCTGAAAGCAAACAGGAAATCAGTGAGACATGTCTCGGCCACCCCGCTATCTCTACCTTGTTATTCACTAGTGAAGCTTTCTTGTGTCCATCCCTCTCTTGAACTTGGAGAGTATGAAGTATAAGCACATTCACCACAGCATGGCCATCCCCACCCTGAACTTTCCTGTGTACCTGATATCAGGAACCCATTCCAGTACCCTAATGACACCAGCGAATGATTGCACCCTGTTTATTTTCCTTTTAGAAAACGTGGTACTTGGGCAAGTGAGATGGTTCCGTGGGTAAAGGTGCTTGCTGCCAGCCTGATACCCTGGGTTTCATCCCCAGGACTCACACGTTGGAAGGAGAGAACTAATTATTACAAGCTGTCTTATGGCCTCCACATGTGCATGGTAATGTATGTATACCACCCATCCTATCCACCCCTCCAATAAAATGTAATATATTAAAAAAATATATGGTTCCATGAATCCATGGCCAAATTTGAGGACCTTTAGAGAGGCTGTTCAGTAGCTGTCTTTCTTAGATTGGGAAACGATGGAGCTTGGGGGTTGTGAGAGAAACAAACAGAAGAGGGGATTCAGAACAGGAGCAGATTCCAGGGACTCACAGTTGATGCTGACAGCCAGAGAGTGACTGAAGAAAATCTAAAGCAGTATGTGAATTATCTGCTAAATCATCTACCAAATAGCATTAGAGCCAGTGCTTCTCCTTGGAGACACAGCCCACAGGGCACTCTGCAAGTCCTCACTCTGTAAGGCTTTCGTACTACCATCCCCCTTTCTCTGCAGAAACCGCCAGGGTCTGTACACTCTAGTAAAGATGCAGTCTGGGAGGCAGCAGGTCACTTCGTGAGGTTGTTTGTTTATTTATGAAGTGGCTCCATAGGAATAACTTCTATGGTTGCTTAGGCAAAATGAGGCAGAAAATATATTGTGTAGGGATGTAGACAGTTGAGGAAAACTATTCCTAAAAACCGGGAGAACGACAAACATTCAGAATAATACAGGGAAAGCAGGCGAACAGGAGGAAGAGACAGCAGGTGCCTGCGAGGGTTTCGCTGTGCTCTGACTAGGTTCTGGCGTCCTAGAGTGAACTAACAGGAAAAGGCTTGGAGAGCATTTCAGTGGGAAAGCCCTTGTTCACGGTGCACAAGGTTTTGGGTTTGATTCCCCCAGAACCATAAGAAATCAAAAACCTTCCTTCCTGGTGTAACGGAGAATAAATATGCTGATCATGGAAGAACATGTGCCTGTTCTTTGCATGATTACACTTGATAGCCACAGACTGTTCCTTGTGGCCTTTTGTCTAGAGCAGAGGTTGTCTGTCTGAGATAGGGTCTGCAGTCTATCTGAGATAACTCTGCAGTCCAGGTGGCCTAGAACTCATTATGCAGCTCAGGCTTCCCTCAGACTTTCCTGACTTCACCTGCCTCAGCCTCCCGAGTGCTGGGGTTACAGTCTTCACACCTGTTTTGTGCACAGCAGATTTTGATCTGAGAGGACAATAGAGGATATAAGCAGAAAACGGGAGCCCTGTCCTGGACTCCAGAAGACCTGGTCTCAACCCCGGGGCAGTCTAGAAGGTCTCTGAGGAAGTGCCCTCTCTGAACTCCAGTTCCTTCCTTCACAGGGAGCAGGAAGGGAGGGGCGCTGCATGGATTGGATGGGAGAGCACTGAGACTCAGCAGGGCAGCCACCAGATGTCACTCTTACTTTATGCAAGAGGTCGCTGGACTGCCCTGTCCTTTCCCACACCGCCAAATCCCAAATCTGGACGCACCCTGCTGTGAGAGGTTTTCTCCTCTGGGTTTAAAAACTGTTCTGGAAGCCTTGTCTGGAGATAAGAGTGCCATCCCCATAGCAGCCATTTTAGTTGTCCCACAGTTTCCTTTCTGGAGCATCTCCCTGTCATGGGCTGGACCCTGCCTGCTTTATCTGAAGCTGGACACATTGTGCCAGAAACAATTCTGAGGGGAAGTGCCTAGGTGTGACTACATGCAGGGTCCTGTCTTAGCACACACGCGGGGTTAGACATCATTTACTCTATGTTCCTAGGATTGCCACAGGAACGTGTGTGTGTGTGTGTGTGTGTGTGTGTGTGTGTGTGTGTGTGTGTG